CAACGTTTAATATAAGAAATTATACAATTACAGATAAAATATAGTTTAAAGATAAGCATATACAAACAATCAAAAATATCTTATATTTAATATCAACATTTAACTTTATAACATATGACAAACACTTACTAAATAACTAATAAAACGAATTAGCTAAGAACTTTAATATTTAATACGGAATTGATATAAACAAAACAAAAATTAAATCAAAAAGATTAACAAATGAACATAAAAATAGAAAATGAAATAAATGACTGCAAAACGAAACTCATGATTATCAGAAAAATGAAAGGAAACAAAGAATGAAGTTATGAAATAAATAAAAATAGAATATTACTATATAAAAGATAAATTAAATTTTAATATTAACGAATTTCCTTAATAATTATAAAAGCAATAAATTTAAAACATATCTAGTGCATTATTTCTATATTGTAAAGTCTTGTAATAAAACCTTATGCTCACAGTAAAAGTTTAGAACAATGAATAAAAGTATCATCATGAAAATAAATTACTTTGTATAACTGACGCCTCATTAATATGTTTTTATAAACAAAATAATAAACTCTAATATGAAATTGTAATATTTTATGCAATAAATATTAATAAATTATTAATAAAGGATATTTTTTTTAAATATTCTGTTTAACTATGACTAATTTATATCAAGTAAAAAACACAATTTACATGTTTCAAAATTTCATTATTTAAATTTTTTTAACATTCATCCAACTTGTAGCAAAATATCATTTTCTTTTCAAAGTTTAGCTATTTTGAAAACCAAAAATTAAGTTTTTTTTAAATTATTTTGTGTTCGAAAAAAAGAGAAAATCTAACGTTTTAAAAATGTAAAGTGTGAGCATAAGGTATGTTTATTTAAATTTTTATGATTAATTTATTACGGCTATATTTTTCCCACTGATTTAGTATTTGTTTTTGTTTTTCTAAAAACTCTTAAGGATCTTATGTTTAATAATTTATCAAAGGTTTACATAAAGTGTTCTTTAAACCTTTAATAAATGATTATGTTTAAGATTCTAAATAATTTAATTGTAATAAATAGTTTTTATTTTTATTTATTTTGTAAGAACAGCATGTGCAAATGTATTTGTTAACAAACACACTTTTGTAGAATCAACAACAACATTTACATATAAATTACTACGTTTTCCAACTCATTTTCCTAATATTTAGAAAAACTTTAAACTAATTTTTATAAATTAATTAAACTGTTCGGTAACTAAAACAAACTAAAATGTTTATTAATATAATTATTAAACAAATATATGTTTATAACAAGCTTTTATAATATTATTAAAAAAAAGCAAATCAAAATTGAAAGTATTTTACGATTCATGAATATTTTTTAGTTTTAAAATTCTCAAGTTCGAAATTCGAATGCAACATTTTTTTTATATATTTATGAGTCTTCTAGATTTGAAATGTAATGTTATATTCAAAATTTCGAAGTTGTGTTTGAAAAACATTTAAAGCTTCTAAAATACTTTTAGATTATGAAGATTTTAAATAAAATTCGAACTTATGTTAGAAAAAACTGTAAAAATAATTTTTCGATCATTAGTTCGAATTTTCGAAATCATCATAATCCAGAACTCATTTTTTAGAACATAACATAATAAAATTTTAACTTATGTTCGAAAAATTGTTATTTTTCAAAAAAAAAAAAGAACTAAAATATAATTATTCGAATTTTCGAAAATTTTGTTTCAAATATAACATGGAATTTCCGAACATAATATTGCATGTTTCAAAATATTGAACTGTTTCAAAATTAAAACTTAACCAACAAACAATTAACATTACAAGTAAAATAAAAGCTTGTATACAGATTTGAATTATAGTTTTTAGTTACTGAACAGAATGCCTGAATCTCTAAACTAAACCATATGGAAACTATAATTTTATGAATATATTATTTAAAATGTAAATTATTTATTTTAGGTAGTTTTAGTACTCAATTTTTATATTTTTTATAACACTTTGAAACTTTATAATTGCTAATTCTCTGTTACCCATATTATCTTTTTCTTACAGAGGAAATTGAAAGTTTTGAGGCCGTAAATTATGGTGAATTACTGGTAGCTTTAAGAGATAGAAATATTGAGGGTCTTCCACCAGGTGGCGGTTTACAGTCAAAGTAAGTTTTCGCTTTTATTTTTATTAATATTTCAAATTCCAATAAAATTTAAATTGTTTATTTCCCATTTCCTCTTTTAGGTATCATTTAATAGAGCGAATATTTAAAGAAATTTTCCCCGAAGAAAAGTGTGAAGTACGCAATTATTTTTATAATTGTTGAATATTTTATTTACATATTTATTTATTTAATTATTTATTTATTTATTATTGCTTTTTAGATTTTAGTTTAATAATTGCTTTAGCTTTGTTTGTTGTTAAAATTTAGCTGCTGGTTTGTTTAATGGAAACTGAAAATGAAATTTCTTTAATGAGTGAGAGTTATAAAAGTGGAATAATGACTATTGTTTTAAAATGATATATTCTTCACTTCATTGTTCAATTCTCCAAACCACTATGAAGTTGATTATTACAAAACTGTTTTCATATCGGTCCTCCCATAATTGTTATCCTTTGGCAACTATTAGATACTTAATTAACTTCTATAAAAACTCTGGTTTGGAAACCCCGTCTTCTTTACAAGAGGAATAAGAGTTTTATAGATAGAGATTTCATTTAAAATTCATAAACATTTTGAAACTTTTTTACAAATTTTTAAATCTGAAATTAGTTTTAAATACAACTAAATTCTCATGATTACGAGAATATCTTAAAAAATGTTCAACATAATTTCTAATCTTCGATATTTTTTAATCTTCATGTTCTAAAGCTTTAATATATTTTGAAACATTGCTGCTTAACGCATTGTTACTTAAACTTAAAAGTAAATGAAATATTTATTAAATCTCCAAGGTCTCATAGAACATATGTTTGTGACACCTGGCTGAAAAATTTAGCAGATTATTGCAGATCCATTTGTTCTTAACAATAGAAATATATTTCAGTTTTCAATTAAACGCCATAATAATATATAAAAATTGTTAAAAGTTTATTTATTGCTCATTTTTCATTTACAGGTACAAATCACTTTAATAAGGAATTTATTTAAATAATTTAAACCTTAGAAGCTTTCAAATGTAGAAACAATTAATTACTTTTCTTTCGTTAAAAAAAAATGCTGCCTTATTCAAGTGATTTGAACACTATTTATTATTTATCATTAATTAATAATCATTTTATTTTAAGTTGTATTAAAATCTGTTCAATTGTACAAGAAAATATAATTTTATTTTTTCTTTACAAACAAATTTTCAAAAAAAAAAGGTGTGGGCCTGTTTTCTTTATCAAAAAAATATACAAACAAATTGAACATTTTAATTTAATTATTGACACAAACAAAGCATTTTAATTATTTGCTGAAAATATCAAAATAGCAACAGCTTATTTTCATTTAACTACAACTAATTAGCCACGCTAACTATTGTCTAATGTCTTTATTTAAATGTTTTAACAATTGTATGTGTTTTCTATATTTACAGACTGCATCACATTGAAATCCGGTTAAATATTTTAATTGATAAAGTTCAAATTTAATTAAAACAAAAAAAAAAAAAAAAAATAAGAAAAAAATACAAAAAACTAATGTCAACAACAACCAAATACCACAACAACAAAAAAACCTACAATATTTTACATAAAACAAAAAACTATTTCTATACTTCATCAGCAACAAATTCACTCAACAACAAAAACAAAAAAAATCTAAAAGAAATCTTTACAAAATAATAATTTAAACTAAACTATACATTTTTTTACAATTCGTTTTCGTCGTTTAAGTTTTAATTATAATTTCTTGTATTTTTTTTCTAGCCAGCCAGCTGTTAACGTTAAGGAGTTAAACAAAAAGAAAAAAACGTATACTTAAACTTAATTAATTATTTAATATAATAAGTTTTTAAGTTTTATTTTCTTTTTAAACAAATCATTAAACTCTTCTTTTTTATTTTTATATTTAAAAAAAACAAAAAAAATACCAATCAATACATTAAACAACATAAACACAACAAATTATCTACCAACAACCATCATAAGCAATACACTAAAAGAAATTTTAGGAGAATTTTATTTTGGAGTTTCAGTTATTAACAATTAACATTTAAATTAAACTAAGAAAAGTCAATTTAAAAAAATATATTTCTGTTTATTTTTGTAAATTCAATTTTAATCCTAAAGAGTTTTTTTATACTTTTTTGTTCTCATAACAATTTTATAAAGTGTATTGCCCAAAATACCCCTTCCCGCCCCAAAACACTCACAAACACACTTACACAGTTAAAAACAAAAAACAAAAAGAAAAAAAAAAAATAAAACTAAAACACAATTTATAATCTTTACCAAGTAAGTTAAATCTAGGATTCATACATTAAAAAAAGGGAAACAAACACAATATTTAAAAAAAGAAGAAAAAAACCTAAGAACTAAAGAAAACTATATATTATAGCACACACAGGGATTCCTTGAATTTTATACTTTATTTTTCTATTTTCATTATTAACAACTATTTTATTATATAAAAACACTCTTCTAAATCAAGTTTAGGTTCGAAAGAGTGACACAGTTTATATTTGTAATCTTAAATTTGTTGTTTTTTTTTTTTTTTGTGTGAGTTAGCTTTGTTTTTCTATAACACTATTATATAACATATATTAATTACAAACAAATTAATAATTAAAAGGAGTTCCAATTCTGATTTTTTTTTTTTATTTAATTTTTTAAAACTGAAATCTCTTTTTAAATTGTTCATTTTAAATATGTTTTGTTTTTCTTTTTATTTGTAACGTGACTCTAGTTCTTCTTTTTGTGTATTAAAAATAATAAATAATTAATTGTTTTTGTTTTAATTGTAATACCTTTACCAACTTTTATTATTTAAGAAACAGTTTTTTGTACGTCTTTTTAATTTCTTTTAAATGTCTGTTAACTTTGTTTTTTTATTAATAATGGTTCAATTTTTCCTGTTTTTCTCAAAAGATTAATTAATTTCTATTAATTGTAAGCCTTATTAAAACCACAACTTATATTCCTACAAAATAGTAAGAGAACAACTTAATTGAAGGTGAAAAATAATTTTACACTTTTTTTCCAAAACCTAAGCTAAAGAAAAAAAAAAAAAACAAAACAAAAGAAACCTATTTGTAAATTATAAAAAAAGGAGAAGTAAAAAACCGATTATAAAAAAAAATATATGCTCGAGTTTGTAGTAAATGTTGAAAACCACTCTTTTTAAATTCCTGTAGATAATAACAACAGCAAACGTTTAGAAAAAGGT